TTCTGGTTAAGAGTACCTAGTTTCTAGAGAATAGCTATAGCCCATAAAAATATGAAAACATTGTAGTAAGCAGCAATCGTAGAATAGAGTTTTATCCTGTTAGCAGGTTTCTTCTTTTATTCTCCTTATAGATTAGTTTCATTTTTTTTTTGTTAGTTTTATTTTACTCCCTATTTTTGTTACTCCCTTCTCCAACATTAAAATCTTTTTTTTTTTTTGTTTTTCTCTTCCCTATAAGAAGATGTCTCCAGATTGGCAGTATCCTATTGTAGGGCAGAGGTCAGATGAGTCATAATTTCTAGTCCTAACTGGATTAGTGTGGCAGATCACATTTAGGTACCGTTTGGGTGACTGAATGATGATAGACTTATAAGTTAAATGATATTCTGTATTTACAAATGTAGCTACAAATGGTTTAATAAAGTACTACCATAACTGCTTAAGAGGAAAAAAAAAAATTACAATTTAATGACTTACAAGAATTTTAGAACAAAATAACTTATATTTTGCCTAAATTAAGTATAATTGCAAAGGAGTATATTTGGTTACCTATTTCTTCCTATGCAGTTGAATGAAGCTTTTCTGACTATAATGAAATTTTAGTAGACGATAGACAAAATCTTAGTAAAGATTCATTAAGGATGCTAAATATGATGCATTTTTTTAATGAATAATTAAAAAAAATTAAGTATATCACAAACTATAAATTAAAATTTTTTTGTATTGTATTGTTTGTTTTGTAAATTTTTTTTAAAATTTTAAAATATGTTTTTTTTTAGTAAATAAACCAGAAACAGATCAGCTTTTTGTTTAGTTGAACATATTTTTTAAAAAAATTACAAGGTTTTTATTTTTTATAAGATAAAATTACATATTTTTTTTTTACTCAGTAAACATTATTAAATTTGTACTTTTAAGTTTGAATTATCAGTAAACTGATTATTTTATATATACTACATACATAATTTACAAATTCTTATTATATAAATTCTGAGTCCCTGTAGTACAGTACCTGATTGCATAAATAGTATATGCCATAATGCCATATCAGTACTGCTCTATTGCAGTAATACCATAGTGCTGAATTCATATATGCCAGTTTGTGGTGCAACAAAATTCTTTAATTAATCATAGCTGCCACAACAGAATTGTTTCAGGCAAAATCATCACCCAAAAAAAGGTTTGAAAGTTATATGATATGATTAGATCATCATGATAATAATATTTAGATAATTGATTTAGTAATTTTTTTCTTTAATTCTTTAAAGTGAAAAGCAATCATTAAAAGTATAAAATTCAATAAACATACCATTCTAAAAATATATGTTGATTGCCATAACCAAATTTCCATTAACAATAAATGAAAAAAAAATGAAAATTAAAATAATTTATAAAACTAATCAAGAAAATGCAATTAAACCAGAAAATCTTGTAGATATAATTTTTAATATGCTTCCAGAAGATTATAACTCTTAATCCAGAACATAGCAACAAAAAATTATTGAAGAAAATAAATAATAACAAATAGCTCAGTAGTATTAATAAAAACTTTGTACTATTGCATAAATTGAATGATTATAATCATTTTAAAATGCAATGGAATACAGTTATATCTGAGTTATATTCCCCTTTTTTCTAGAGTATTTTTGGAGATATAACTGAGGTGGTGATATAACTAAGGTATAATCTAAATTAAGTATATATAGTCACATGATATCAAACTAATCAGAATTTAAAATTTTAAATAAGTATACATTATTGGGCAAAAATTGTTAAATAATGGCAATTTGGCAAATGAGTATGTGCTGCTTTGCAGCACATGTAGCCAATCATTTGCCAAATTACTGTGTTTGACAATTTGCCCAATAATGGTGTTATCTGGCAATTTATGATTATGATTGATAGAGAGTCACTTACTGAGTTTTATTTTTTAAATATTGGAATAACATAATTATATCATAACATATGAAAAAAATAACAGAAAGATATTTTTTCATAATTATATAAATTTGCTGGATAATATAAATTTATTTAAATAAAAGAAAAATAATACTAATAAATTAAATAGCTATGCAGTAAATATAATTATTATATTATTTAATTTATAAATATCTTTTAAGAATTAAACATTTTATTTAATTGTAGCTAATATATATCTTTATTTATATTATATATAATTTATTTAATATATATAATAATATATTAATTTTATTGATTTATAAAATATTTGTTAATAATTGATTACTTAAGTTTAGATTGGTAAAAACTTTCTGCTTTTTTAATAATTTGTTGCAGCAAATAAATATTATTCTTAGTAGCAAATTGCGATTGCTTAAGATATTTTTTTGCTACTACTAATGCCTTTTTTTCCTTATTATATAAAACTAAATCATCTATAATTTTTTCCTCCTCTTCATTATCAGCTTCATTATTTGAATCTTCATCATTAATCAAACCTTGCTCTTTAAGAATATTTTGAACAATAGACTCTTCAGTTGGTATATCTATTATTTGCAAATGCTTATCTACTTCTACATATTCTTCAGCTGATAATTTAATATAATCATATGACATTTCTAATTCTTCTAATAACTGCTCAAGTTCATTGATATCATTATTATTACTTGTATCAGTAGTTAAATTTATCTCTAATGGAAATATTTTTGTTTTCTTCCAATAGTGAACAATTGTTGACAGCAATACTTGTTTCCAAGCATCAGAAATCATATAAATAGCTTCTTTTATATTGATTGGTTCAATTGATTTTCCACTTTCTATTTCATCTATCTATTTTGTTACTAGTAATTTATAATAATTAACTTTGAAATTTTTAATAATGCCAGCATCATATGGCTGAATAACTGATGTAGTATTAGATGGTAAAAATTCTAATTTAATATTTGCAATTAGGACTTGAATGTGCACTATAATTATTAGCTAAAAGAATTGTAGGCTGATTAACTTGACTATCTAACCATTTTAATCAATCTTTTTATTTTTTTCTTGTTATTCATGCTGTTTGATTGTTTGAATAATATACAGGTAATTTTGACATATTAGTATGTTTCATACACTTTGGATATGCACTTTTGCCAATTACAAATAGTTTAAATTTTTGAGTTCCTGATGCATTATAGCAAAGAAGTATAGTAAGACATGACTTGTCTTTTTTATATCCTTTAGCAGTATCACTTTTAGATGCAAGTGTTTTATTTGGTCCAAGACAAAAATAAAGGCCTGTCTCATTAGCATTAAGAATATTATTAGGATAATAATTATTAAGTAATTCTTGAAAATGGCATCATTCACTTTCAATTGCAGCTTTATCAGCTGATTCACTTTCTTCAGATATGGTCTTTAAACTAATACCAAATCTTCATTGAAATCCAGATACCCAACCATTAGATGCCTCAAATGTAGTTGGAAATTCTATACCACTATTTTTTAATTTTTCATATATTGAAAATGCTTTTGTTTTAAGCATATCCTGTGAAACAGGAACATTATGAGAATGTAGTTCTAAAAATAACTTATAAACAGCCTCATCAATAATATGAAACTGTCCATTTTGTAAGTGAACATGTTGTTATATATGAGCAGATATAGTATTATATAACTGAAGAAAATTATTTTTATCTTACAAAATATTGCTTATTGTAGATCTATTAATATCATATTCTTTGGCCAAATCTGTATAAGTTAAGTTTTTATTTTTTTCTTTCCTTTTAATAATCTCAACTTTCTTCTCTAAAGTAATAACAGATCTTTCCTTTCATTTTTTACTAGACTCTGCAACAAACATTTATAATAAGATTAAGTGATACTAATAGATGAGCCTAATCGATTTGTCTTAAAACTTCTTGGCAATCTTTGCACATATCTACTAAAAACTACAACAAAGCAAATACATCAAATTACAAATAGACTAGCCTAGTTTTATCAAAAGTGTATCTCGCATTGGCATACTACACAAAATAATATCAATTGGTCATTATCTCTACAATATATTTTATATAGAGAAAAACCCTTAGCTCTAATAACAGATCCTTTCTCTTCAGCACTAAAAAACTTTAAAATCAAACTAGTATCAGAAAAACTACCTACACATCTCTTGCTTCACTAGAGGAATGTTACTAAACATTCAAACTATCTCTGTTCAAGATGCTATAGTGCTTCAGAAACTATTGTACATCTTTTAGATTGCATTGAAAACCATTTACGTTTTACAACATTAATAATATGAGCAGTATATAAAGCAGCAAACAATTTAGAAATATCTTGTTATGAGATAAATAATTTTATCCAAGCTTTTATCTCAAACTACATTAACAAACAAATACCATTAGGTTTAATAGCCGACAACACCTTGGCATCATTTGAAAATAACAAACACAAATACAAACATGCTCCTCTTATATATTGCAATATTATCTCTGCAATATACAAAGAATTTTGGCTTCCCTCTCAAATGATTCAACATGACTCTTTGAGACCAACTCTATTACCACTACAAACTCCAATACTAGCTAAAACTAAACCAATCCTACCTTCTATATTAAATAAAAAAATTCATCATTATATTACTTGTGAACAATTCTCTCTTAGTCATCTTATTATAGACTAGAGGTCTATCGACCATTCTAGCAAAGAATAGGTTGAGAGTAAAGTAGTTCTTACCCCCATCTCCTCTAGCTTAGTTTCTTCTGCATGTATCTTATATATATAAATTGACTAATTAATAAAGAGATAGAGGATAGACCTCTCTTTTAAAAACTAAAAAAAAAAAAAAAAATTATATTAATACTAATATAAAATTTTTATACAAGTTTGATAATATATATAAAGGTAAAATAACTTTTAAAATTTCAAGAATTAAAACAGAAAGAACTGTTTACAAAAAAATAAAAATAAAATAAACTTGTATATATTAAAAACTAATTTTAAAAATAACAAAAGTTTATATATTTACAGTTTCTATAAATATTTAAAAATAAAAGTTATTTAGTAAATAGTATTTTATATTGCTATATTTTATTTATAACAAAAAGTATTTTAGTAATATTTTAAACTTATAAGATTTAGTAGAAAATATTAACATAACTATTTTAAATATTGTTAAAAATAATTGTAATTCTTTTATTTTGAATTTTAAAAACAATATTTTAAATATTTTAAATAATAAATTTTATATAAAAAAATTAAAAAAATCTAATTATAAACTATATTAAAAGGTGTAATAACTTAGTGAAGTGATCAGATTGTTAACTTCCAAGTGGCAGGTCTAAAGTTCAAATCCTATAAATGGGAATCCTTACAGCAAAAGGGTGCAATGAAGAATTTTAAATTTTGATCTTTAAATAAATATATTTTGTAATTTAGTGATTAAAATAAAATTAATTTTTATAATATTTAATTCATCTTATTAAGATAAATTAAATTATCTAAAAATTAATTTATTCTAATTACTAAATTACAAAATATATTTATTTAAAGATTAAATTTTAAAATTCTTCATTGCACTCTTTTGCTATGGGGGTCTCTAAATAATAAATTTTGAAAATTATATCTGTATTATAGTAACTGATTTTGTTAATTAGTTAAATTAGATGAATCTGTAACCTTTAGTTATATTATTATAAATAAGAGCTCAGAGCATCTATATAAAGTGTAATATTATATATACATAGAAAAATGCTTAATTGGTATTGCATAAGACTTTAGTACAAACCAATGATAAGACCACTAAGTGCAAAAAATGAAGAAATCATAGAGTTTGAAGTTCACTTAAAAATCCTGAATAAAAAGACAACACTAACTTTAACAGTGCTGTTGAACTGATAGAAGTCTATAAAACATATTTAGTAAGAATAGGCAGATAAACTGAATGATAATATATGTAGAAGAACATATGACCAACCAGGTTGCCAGAATCACAGAGAAAAAGAATACTAAGGTATACTATATTGGGTTATCTGAATTGAAAGTCTGAAGAGTCCTGTTAGTTCTTAGTTGTAATTAGTAGAAAAGATATCAGAAAGATATGTACTAGAGTTTGAGTAATCTTTACAAAGATATAGTAGTTTAATGGTTAGCCTTGATTGCAAGTAATAGTTTAGACCAAAATGATACTGAGTTAGCTATAAGTATAGAATACAGAAAGTTCTGATAGGTTTAGTACAAAATTAAGGGTAGAGTATACGATTTTCAAATTATATATAAAACTTTGGTAACTTTTTATTTAATTAAAAATAGAAAAATATTTTTTTAAATAAACAGCTTTTAAATATTAATTAAAAATTGTAGAATATGTTTTGCTGATTCTAATGATAGTAAATTCATTAAAATTGGTTAAAAATTGACTAGATACATATGTTTAAAAATTAGGTATCATAAATTGTTTATATAAATCATATGAAGATCATATGATTTGGATCAATCATAATCAATAATTTTGTGTAACTACGGAAAATTTGAAACCATTACAGAAAACTTTGCAATATATACAAGTATATTTTTTTAAAATATTTTATCTATTAAAAATTTTACTATTATAAAGA